TGGGAAAAGCTCATACCAGAAAGCTAAGTGAAATAAAGTTAAAGTAGGCTACATTTGCAGTGTGATCTCATTTACATGTTTAAACAAATTATATGTGACGAAATCTTTAAGGAAACACACCAGAATGCTCATAGTTAATTAGCTATAGGTTGTGAGATTATGAGTGATGTTGTTTCCTTCATTTTTCTTTATTTCTTTCAAGTTTTCTATGATGAGCATGCATTACTTGTATTATCAGGAAAAATGTGATTTAAAATTCTATAAAAATATGTATCTGTATAAATCTACATTTTCTAGTGTTTTCATATGGCAGGTTGGCTTAAAGCAAAAAAACAAAAAAAACAAACCCACTGCCATTGAATCGATTCTGACTTCCAGCAACCTCCTCTGGGTTTCTGAGGCGGTAAATCTTTACGGAAGTAGATGGCCCAACCTTCCTTCTGATGAGTGGCTGGTGGGTTTGAACCGCCAGACTTCTGGTTAGCAGTCAAGTGCCTTAGGCACTGTGCTACCAGAGCTCCTACATTTATTTTGACAGTGTGAGAAAAATAATCTAACCTTATTTTTCCCTTAATTAGCCAATTGTCCCAGAATTGTTTATGGAATAATAATTCCTTGTTTCCTCATCTGTAAAATAGGGACAAAATATCAACTTTTGCACAATTTTCAGGGTGATTGCAGGAATCAAACAAGATAAATATGAAAACATTTTGAAAAAGTGAAAGCTATAAACCAGTGTTTTTTACAGTTGAAATAGGCAATGATCCTGAGGGTATTTCAGTTTGAATTAGGTATTATGTGTATGATGGGGTTGCTGTTCATTCTGGAGGCTTTGGCACTAGACTCTCTTTTTTCCACAGAGCGCTTCGACCATCACTGCCCCTGGGTGGGGAATTGTGTTGGAAAGAGGAACTACCGCTACTTCTACCTCTTCATCCTTTCTCTGTCCCTTCTCACAATCTATGTCTTCGCTTTCAACATCGTCTACGTGGCCCTCAGTGAGTATGTAGGCCAGTGTATCTGCTGTTGGAGTTGGGGTGGGGTGGGACAGACTTGAGGATGGCCTAGGGCATTGGTTGGGGTGAATGCTCCTTTGGATCAGTTAGAAAAATCACTACCACTCTCTCTTGAGCAGGACTCTAAACCTCAGCTCATATCAATAAGCACTTACTGAGTGTGTTGGCTTTCTCTCTAACCGTGTGCTGGGGACTAGAGTCAAAATCACTGGATGTTTCTGAGCTGATTCCAGAGGTTGGGGATGTTTTTTGGCTATTTATATCCTCTATTTTTCTGTCTTACAAGACCTGCCCTGTTCTAGGTGGTAGAAGGGGTTCAGAGAAACACCTTTTGGTAGCTCCTGGTTTACTTTGGAATATAGAAAAACACATATGCACACCCACACAGAACCATCTGAGGGCGTGGGATGTGGAGTTACAGGAATGACCTTAATCATGAAAGCTTCCAGGGAAGAGATGGTTTTTGAGCTGGATTTTGAGCAAGGGAGGAGGGACTTATTAGGTTGGTGATGAAAGAGGATTTTTCTTGAATATTTTTTACTTCTCTCATCTGTTTATATCTCTTTACATGTCCCTGAGTGGCGCAAACAGTTTCAGGGCATGGCTACTAACAAAAAGATTGAGGTTCAAGTCCACCCAGGGGAGCCTTGGAAGAAAGGCCTAGTGATCAATTTCTGAATGGTCACAGCTGCTGAAAACCCTGTGGAGCAGTTCTACTCTGCAACACAAGGGATCGCCATGAGTCAGAACGGACTCGATGGCAACTGGTTTTATTTTCGTTTTTACACGTCCATAGTTAGGGGCTAGGGAAGTGGGCCAATGCTTGGCTTCTGCTTGACTCTTTAGTGCCATGCCTAGTCCTGCATTGGAAATATGAACTCTTTAGTCTTGAGGCGACCTGCTTGGAGGTGAGTATCCCTTGACTGAGTGAGAGCTTATCCTCTGCCAATGTTTCACAAGGGATAAGGAGGGAAGGAAATGAGTAGGCACTAGGGTAGTGTGCATTTTTCACTAATGTTACTGATCTTTCTACTTCTCTCAATCCACAGAATCTTTGAAAATTGGCTTCCTGGAGACGTTGAAAGAAACTCCTGGCACATATCCTTACTAGGAAGGATGTCTCTATGAAGCCCTCTTAAATTAGTTTTCAGCATAATTTGTCCCTGCACCTATCAAACCATTGAATTTTTCAGAAATCAAAAAGTGTCACTGTTTAACTAATGTAGTCTTAGTAGGAAGACTGGGCAGTCTACTTCCGTAGAGATACCGCCTCGGAAACCCAAGAAGGGGTCGCTATGAGTCAGGATCGACTTGACGACAGTGAGGTTTGAGCAGTAGCCACCAGAGTGGAAGATGGCCAGGGCTTAAAGGGA